AAGAAATTTCCTAAAAAATGGAAGGACGAAACAACTATAGGTGAGGATGGATTCCTTGATTATAGGAGGCGTAATGATGGAAAATCATTTGAGAAAAATGGGGCTACTATAGATAACAGATGGGTTGTGGGTTACAATCGGTTTTTGACACGAAGGTTTCATGCACATATCAATGTTGAATGGTGCAATCAAGCAGGTGCTATTAAATACCTATTCAAATACTTGAACAAAGGTTCAGACAGAGTTTCTTTCAAATATACTGTCAACGGAGAACTTATCAGTGAAAATTATGATAAAGCTCCAAAGGATGAAGTGAAAGATTGGTACAAAGTTAGGTATTTATCTGGTTTTGAAGCTGCATGGCATATGTTTGAATTCCCAATACATCACAGGACACATCATGTTGAACGATTAAGCTTTCATATGCCTGGTCAGCAGAGCTTCTAACAGAGAGTCAAAGTTCACTGCATGGATGGAATGTAACAGCATACACTCTGAAGCAAGACACCTTATGTACATAAATTTTCCATCCAAGTTTGTGTGGAAGAGAAAGGACAAAATGTGGAAGCCGAGGCAAAGAGATGATAGCATTCGCAGAATTCATGGAGTTCATATAGCTGCTGGTGAACCTTATTATCTAAGAATGCTTCTTAATATTGTTAAAGGTCCAATATGTTATGAAGAAATAATGACAGTAGATGATATAGAATCCACTTCTTTCAAAGAAGCTTGCTTCGCTAGGGGTTTACTGGAAGATGATAAGGAATACATTGATTGCATAATGGAAGCATCAACTTGGGGTTCAGCAAGTTACTGCAGACATCTTTTTGCAGAGTTTTTGGATGGAGAAATTCTTTCTAAACCTGATAATGTCCTAGAGCAGACTTGGGACTGCTACACAGAAGATATACCATTTAAGTTAAAGCGTTTGTACATGAATGAATGTATATTTTCTTCCAGTTTGTTATCTTAAGTTTTCACGGATGTTTAAACATTATATATTCCATTTTAACGAAATGGGATTTGTTTCTTTTTCTTATTAATGGTTATTACCCATAAAAAATGTTACACATAGATTACATAGTGTCCGAAGATGAAAAGAAAATGCATGCATTGAAAAAAATTGAGTTTATTCTACGGACTCATGGTAAATCCCTGAAGCAATTTCCTGGTATGCCATATCCAGGAGATGTTTTCATTAATGATGGAACCAACACCATGATTCATGATGAATTAGACTACAATAGATCAGAATTGAGAGAAGAACATGATGTGCTATACTGGAATTTGACTGATGAGAAGAGGAAAATTTACAAACAGATTACAGGTGCAATTAAAAGAGGTAAAGGAGGTTTGTTTTTCGTTTATGGTTACGGTGGGACTGGAAAGACATATGTCTATTGCACACTTTCAGCTGCCATTCGGATGGATGGCGAAATTGTATTAAATGTAGCATCAAGTGGCATTGCTTCGTTGTTGTTGGTTGGTGAAAAGACTGCTCATTCAAGATTTCAAATACCAATTGAACTGATGAATCAACATGTACCATCAAACCAGAAAGTGATTTGTGTGATTTGATTATAAGAGCAAAACTTATTATATGGGATGAGGCGCCGATGGTACATAAACATTGCTTTCAAGCTCTGGACAGGACACTAAAGGATGTATTACGCCGTACAAATCCAAAAGGTATAGAACAACCATTCGGAGGTAAAGTTGTTGTTCTCAGAGGTGGTTTCAGGCAGATATTGCCTATGATTCCAAAAGGTACAAGAGCTGACATTGTCAGTTCTGCAATAAACTCTTCCTACTTATGGAGGCATTGTAAGGTACTAAGGTTGACTGTTAACATGAGGCTACGTGTTGGTGATACAACAAATAGTCATGATGAAATGCGCGAGTTTGCTGACTGGCTGCTAAAAATCGGAGAAGGAAAGGTAAATGAACCAAATGATGGTGAAGCTGAGATTGAATTCCCAGATGATGTCATTATACAAGAACCAGGAGATCCTATCGAAATTATTGTTAAGACTATATATCCAAACTTATTAAATAACCTCGAAAACCCTATCTGATTCTAGGAAAGAGCTATTTTAGGACCAACACATGAAGTTATTGATAAGGTCAATGATTACATGACAAGTCTATTACCTGAAGAAGAACATGAATACCTCAGTTCAGACAGTATGTGTAATGCTGAGCATGGAGGTGAATCAGATCAGGGTATATACACTCCCGAATTTCTCAACAGTGTAAGAGCTTCAGGTCTTCCCAATTACAGATTGGTACTGAAACGTAATTTTCCAATCATTCTACTCTGTAGCATTGATCAAAAGTTAGGACTGTGCAATGGGACTAAACTACAGGTTACACGTATGGGACATTACGTGATAGAGGGGAGAATTATATCAGGAAGCAATATTGGTCATGTTATGCCTATTCCCAAGATGAAAATAATTCCATTTGACAGGAACATTCCTTTCAAAATGAAGAGGAGGCAGTTTCCCATATCAATATGTTTTGCTATGACCATTAACAAAAGTCAAGGTCAGTTTCTTTCTACAGTTGGACTTTACCTACCACGACCAGTTTTCAGCCACGGCCAGTTATACGTGGCTCTGTCAAGGTTAACCTCTAAAAAAGGTTTGAAAGTGTTGATTTGCGATAGTGAAGGTACAAGATCAAACAAAACTATGAATGTGGTCTATAAGGAAGCTCTGCGTAACGTTAGGTGAAATTAGTTGTTTTAAATTCCTTTTTATTAACAGTATGTTACATTATTCTGTTTAAGTTTAACTGAGAATAATATTTTCGAATATTCTACTTATAATTTATATTTAAATTCATAATTAACTAATTCAGTTAGTACTTATACATTTAAATAACTACATATTAAGTTATATGGATGGCTGAGTAACCTGAATATTTTTATGAAGCAAAAATTATGACATCTGTGAGCTATTTCTTATTCTAAAATCATTATCATTTTTCAAAAAATACATTCTAACCACACACTTGATAACAATTTATTATGCACACCATAGAAACAAATACACACAAATATTCAATTAACTGTTAAAAACAAAAAATAATATACTCAGTAATTACAAAAACATATGTACTTTAACACAGTACATATCAATTAAATAATATCAGAAAACAAGTTTAAAAACTTTATAATTACCTCATTAAAAAATAAATTGCCCAAATATCATCTTGCATGTTAAACTCCAGCTTTCATACTGAACATTGACTGAGCATTTCATCGAAGATCTTCTGCACAACACCATTTACACGTTCAAACATACATTTGTAATTGTGTTTCATGATTGAAATACATAACTGTAAACGAAAAGAAATAGCATACCATACGCCACTGTCAATAATATTACCTCCTTAAGTACAATCGAAGTGATACTTATTGGGCCCAGATTGAAATGGAAATTCCGACCTAGAATCTTGCATGACTACAACTCACAAGCTTTGATTGAACACTCCTACAAATCACGAACTGAATTATATTGAATCATAGAAGATACACAGCAGCAGACGTATATCCATCTATAATCAAGAACACTTTTATCTGCGAACACCCCAATAGCTTTCAATTCTTTCAACTGATGCTGATTAGTTCAATCGATCTGACTCTTCTCTAAACCGAATGAATATTTGGATTTCCTCGAAAACATATGAATCTAGATGAACAGATGAGGAGATGGTAACGATGGTAACGATGAACAGATGGAAAGTATTTGGATGGCATTTACACTAATCAGATCTGATGGCTGGACTTCTAAAATGAGGAAAGAGCTATACACTTTCCAGATCTATTCGATACGAACTAGACTGAAAGTGCTGATTTTTTCCCTTTTTTTTTTGTTTATTTTTTTGCAAAACACGCATTTACACTTCTTCTCTTCCGACTTTGATCTATTTATTTTATACCCACATAATTCAATTATTTATCATTTTTCCACCTTATTTTCCTAGAACTCTTTTTAACCCAAATATATATATATATTATCATTATTATTATTACTATCATTATTATTATTACAAATTAGTAACAATATTATTTCTAAGAGATCGTCCAGACATCCGTCCGGGTCAAGCATCTAGTTTACATTAGTGTAGTTTTCTTTTTTCTTCTTTTCCAAATCTCAATATGAGGAGCTCTTGTGACAGATTGTTTTTTCACAGCTTATTTTTCCCCCTTTATTGTACACTAACGTGGTTGCAAAAATATAATCACTTTTTTGGGCGTTTCATCTCTAGAATGGTCTCATGTTGAACTTGTGTATCCAGTTTTACACTTCAATAAAGAAATCAGCCTAGCAATTTCTAGCAGGTGATATTGATCTCAGAACGGTCTGATCAAAATTATGTATCAGTTCCCGTTATGCAAATTCGCAACTAGGAAAGAGTACTCACAACAAAATTCAACCAAAAAAGAAAGCTTAATGCTAATAACCTGAGTTTAAAATTTGAAGGTCCAATCCAGCACCCGGAATGAAATCATTTCCTGCACTCATATGTATCGAAACAGATTCAAGCTATTAATCCAGTATCTCCACAAAACACAAACTTTATGAATAATATTGTGCCATGCAATGTATTTTCATAAACCTCTCTTTAAACATATGCAGACCCATTACTTCTTAACAAATTGACATCCAAAGAGAACTCATTCTAGTATATGACCATATCCACATGAAAGTTATTATTACATGACAGAGCAGCTACATTATACTTTTCATAATTTTTGTTGACGGGTGTAAAAAAATTTCTGTACATTTGGTACTTGGCAGCCAACATCTCTCACATATTCTAGAGCTAATCAATTAGTTTCTGCTAGCAGATCTTCAATCACTAGTTCTTACTAAAAAATGATTTAACATGTTGATGAAAAAGTCTGGAGTTTTGCACAATCATAACATTTTCTCACAAAATTAACCTGAACTAGATTAATCATTAAGAAACATTTATATATTCCTCTTACATTATGGTGTAGGCTTTTTCAGAATGTCATCTTCCAATGGAGATCTCGAATCCTTCTTCTCCATTACATTTTTAATGCCTTCTTGATACCCTTCAATAAAACTTTTAAGAGCATCTCTATATGCAGAAGCTCGTGTCATATAAACACGCTGCAATGCTGGCCTTAGTGTTTCCATGCCTCCTCGTGCAGCAACAGCTTCCAAAGAATGCAGTACATCAGAAATCCACATAATGGACACAGATGTATAGCAGAACAACTAAACAAACATAATCCCAAAAATTCATATAGGTATTAAACCAGGATGATGGGTGCAGAATCAAAGAGCATCCGACATTCAGTGCCAATTCAAAACACCAAGCTACAAATAATCACATACGAGAAGAATGAAAAGATTTCAGTTTCAATTTCCATAAGAAATTAACTAGGAGATGCTTGAAACAACTCTATTTTCCTCTCACCCTCGGAAACTCTTGTTATGGGGTCCATTCTACCAAACATGTCTACTCAAGGTTGAGTCATAATATCAGATTCTCCAGTCTAACTCCAGATACGTTAAAAGGCAACATAAACTCTTGTAGCATAGACGTACTGACAATAAATGTAGCAGGCAACAAAGTCACAAAAACTGCCCCGTGGAAGTTAAAATCGAAGAGTCATTATCAATTTCACAAGAAACTGTTATGCATAGCCCAAGATACAAACTCCTGTACATGCAAAACTTAAATATTATAGAATACAAACATCAATACTACTTTATTTTAGCAAACTCTGTGATTGTGTTGCGCACACTTATTGATTTATGAAATGGAACATTGGCACATATTTCTTGAATAAAACTGTAATAATTATGTAAAATTTTACACGATTGTGTCATCCCTGTTAAAATATTAGCATGTCATTGTAATACAATGAAAACCATTCTAAACTGCGTTTCTTGAAAACTCAATCTCTTGAATTTACTTTAGATATTTTACAAGCATATTGTACCAAAGTCCTTGAACATATCCAACAATTACCAAAACCATCAAACAAATAAAATTTGCAGCACAACCGAGGCTCACGAGTCCAATAATGAGTGTATCAACGAGAACAATTAACCTGGTAACATTAATTAAATACTAAATTAACTGGAAAAATGGAAGCAGTCAAGCACTGAACCAAAGCCATCAGTAACACAGAACACCTCAGCACTTATTGGAGGGCTTACGAAGGTTGTTTTATAACAAAACATTTTCCTACGCAGCCAAAATTAAAAGGCACAATTTTCATATAGGAACTGGATAGTACTCAATGACTTACCAAGATCCTCCAGCGTAGAGGGTTCTTTCTCTGTTTTCCCACCGGTTGCTTCATCAAATTCAACTCCATTCTCCACCAGCTTTTTGTAATCATTTGGCCTCAATTCAGGACTGATATCCCGAACCCAACTTGCACCGTAGAGCCTTGTTGCTTCCTTTAACACCTGATTAAAAAACATTAATACATAAAACTTGTCTTGAACAATCTTACCCCTAACTTATTAATGCAAAAGTCCTAAAACATACAAGCACATCACGCAAGAGTCAGGTGAGAGAAAGCAACTACACTACAGACTACAGAGGTTCACGTACACCAAAGCAGCTTTCTTTGGCCATTGGAAGCCATCGTTTATAAAAGTGAATCACTTCCAACTCAACTGTAATGTATGCATTAATTCTCATTTCACACAACCCACTTTCTATTCCTATCAATGACATAATATGCAGCATACAAAACAATCCACAACCATCAGTCAGATGGACAAAATAAAAACAGAATGATGCAACACTTACAAGAAAACGCTCCTTCCAAGTGAGCTTCCGGCGCTTTTTGAAATGGGGTGGATCAGGTAAAGATGAAGGGAATGCAATCTCCTTTAAATCATACCTCACGTAATCGTAAACCTTCCTGTATACCACCTTTATCTTCATTCCCATACTTCAGCTGATCTTTGCTAGCATATCACGGCGATGTTTATCAACAATTCACCATGAATCTGCCAGTATTAGTAACAAAATTTATCCAATTTGTTCCGGGCCCATTCAGTACTTTTCTCAAACTCGTTAAGTGTATTTTCGTTCAGCACTTTTATCAAACACGTTATCGTCAGTCGCTCAGGGGATGTGCCTCACATCTTCAACCTTTCAATTGCTCTCAGCATTGACAACACTTTGGACCACATTGTAGTTTGCAGTATAATAAAGAGCCCAAGAAAATGATTGGGCCTTATGTACGGTTATTAGTGGGCAATAAAATGTAAATCGGTAAGGTGAACAAACACATAGAAGGTTCAGAGAAACAGCAAACAATTAACGATTTGGATCTAATCATTTGCAGACTGTGTTGTTAAGAAAGCTCCAAAGGGCAATGACAACAGCAGCGCCAGCAGGTCGGCAGTTTCAAATAGGAAGTAAACCCTCTGTCCTAAAAAGAAAATAATCCTGAATTGTGTTAAAATTACAATTTTCAAATATTTCATTAGGCCATTTCCTTTTACAGATTGCTATTCCTTTGTACTATTTACACATACTCTATCTATCTGGCCCCAAAAAAATTGTTCACATTGAATTAAATATTTTTTCAGGATCGAAGAAGTACGTATGACCGCCTGATGTACATTGGCTGCATTTATGGACTGTTGGGATGGGATTAATATATGGTTTGTTGCTTTGGGGACTAATGCTCAACTCTAAAGCCGGAGTCAGACACTGAAATTTGAAGGCTATATTGTTCCAACATCTTATATTCTCCTTCATTCTCAGAGTTTGGAGTCACCTAAAAACCAATGCTTGGTTCATACTTTTAATTTCTGGTTTGGTATAGATAAAAGAGTACCATTTTATCAACAAAGGTTCAAACTTGTTTGCAAAACTAAACAAAAATTTATAGCTGTTCCAGTTCCAGAATCATAAAATTACTTACATAATCACAGCAAACTTAGCTAAATTCCAGCCTGAATCCTGCTGATCCAGAATTAGGTTGTATTGAAGCGTACAAAACTCTAGCAAATGCCCCGGTATTTTAATGGTATAACTTACACAGGATGCCCCTTTTTTTGTACCTAAGAAACTACAGCAAATGGTGAAGCTACACAACGATCTAAATGATTTATTGCTACCTAACATACTGCAATCACAAACAAAGAAAAAGATAATGCAATGAAGGTGATCAAACCAAAATTTCAAACTCTGATACTGAATCTTATTCCTCAAATCCATACTAAAAATCTAGAAGTGCAGAGCAGGGTCTTACATGTGTAGATTACGAATTAAAATGCGAAGAATGCGCCAGATTTGGGTGTAACAGTAACCCTTTGATCTGGAAATTCTGCAGCTTCAGCTGCTGACCTCTTATGGAACAACATTCATCAATCCAAAACCATCCCCATCTGCCATTTTCATCAATTTCTCTCCAAGCTAGCATTCCTGATCCAACATCCTTATAAAAGCACACCATCCCATCAGTACAAACACATTTCGTGTTATCCCAGCAACCTTTTCCCCCTAAGAACTTCATCCCCAATTCAAATGGGACTTTCTCAATTATACCCCAGTTCATTCCACCTTTTCCGTGCTCCCACACGTATGCATCGCCACCACATTTGCCACCAACAAGAGTAAGCTTCCCGTTCCTTCTCCCCAACGCGGCGAATTCGAGCCTATCCGCAATCGGCAGGTTTAATTCCTTCCACTTATTTGTGGTAATCTCGTATGCGATTACGCTATAAGCTCCGGTTGATGTCATCCAGTAGATCACCCCATCGCAATACACAGCTGCATCGGGATCCGAAACAGTAAGCCTCACTGAATATTCCAACGGCACGGGACCGATAATCAGCCACGAGCCACGGCGTGAATCGAACATTTCCACCGTGGACTCGTAGGCAGAGGAGCCGTTTCCGGCAGGCAGAGCAACAGACAAGCCGCCCACCACAAAAACCCCAAAATGGAATTGACCCGGAATTGATGATAACTCCACAACGCCGACGGCTGGATTGATTCTTGGCACAGTAAGTATCGGGAGATCTCTAAATTCCCGAGTAAAAGGGTTGCATATGGCCAATTGAAGCAAATCGGCGGTAGTAGACCGTAATAGGATGAGGCCGCCGTTACGAATTGGGGAAATGGGTTGAATCGGGGTGGGAATAAAATCAAGTTGTAAGAGGAATTGACGGTGGTTATCGACTGGGTTTTGGGCGTAGCAAACGATGCCGGAGCTGCGAATTATAACGGCGATAAACCAAGTCGGATTCTGACTCCGCCGGCGAGAATCCGACGGGTCGAAGTAGACGTCGGGACATCTGTGCCAATTCCGGCAGGAAGATTTAGCACAAGCTAACGAATCAGGAGGTAGGAAAGAAAAAATATAGGCTAAGAGATCGAAGGGAAGGTTGCTCCACATTATGAGTAATTTCGAAGAAATGAAAAAATGAGTGATTAGAGTTCTATTTTAAAAGTTTGGTTGAATTTTAATAGTGGGTTTTGCAATTTCAGTTTTAGGGGGATTTTTGAATTGATTTGAGCGCAAATTGCAATCAAGAATTTCGAATTCAGATCATCAAAAAGTTTAAGACGCTCCTTAGTTTCGCTTTCTGACTTCTTCCCGCCTGAAATTTTGAAGTTCCAATAGTAGCAACGATATTTTAAAATTTAAAAATTTAAAAGATCGGAGCGTAAATCACTCAAGTGGAATGTAACTGGGAACACAACCGTCTTTAAGAAAATAAATAAATACTCTTTCCTTCCAAAATAGGAAAAAATTATTCCATACACCAAGTTTATCCCCCTTTTTTAGTGTAGCAACTCACCCATTGTACTGAAAAATATCATGACTCCCCTAATTTTGTGATAACTTTCCCAATAAAATTATAATATTGTCTTATTTATTTGTCTAGCTGCACAATCCTATGTGGTACGACAGCTGTATAGAAGATTTTCTCCCAAAATAGTAGTAGAAATTTTTGAAACGGTTGGTGTGGCAGAAAATTTTTTTTTATACATAATTTCTAATTTTCAAATGACTGTTTCGCCTCCAATTAAAAATATGGTGTAATCGTGACATAAGGCTGATATCACGTGACTACCGCCCAACCAATCAAATTGCAAGAAACTAATTGGTCAAGCGTGCCTTTATATTAGCTTATTATTATAGATTAGATGGATCGAACGCGCTTCATGCGTGCTGCAATAAAAAACAACATGAGTATATAATATATGTTAACTCTAAATATGTAATTATGACATGCTTAAATTTGAAGAGAGAAACAACAAAAGAATGCTCCATTATCTTATTTTCATAATCCATTTTGTTACAATAATATAGATGATCAAAATGGAACTGTGTATAATTTTTCTCACATAAATTTAATTTGATATTTACAACAATAAATTCAATAACCTGAATATGTGAAAGAGAGTCATGGTTTCAAAATGTTTGGTGAAAAAGTAAATAAAAAACTATTGCTTACGAATTGTAAAGTATTAACCGCATTTTTACCTGAAATCAAGAAGACGCCTATGATTCAAGAACAGTTTAAATTTTTTTTGTTACAATGTTCATTCATTGCTTTTGGATCTTGCAACTTAACTTTATATTATCTGATTAGCTAAACATCAGCATCCCTACTTCTGTTCGAATTCAATTTGAACTTTCAATCAAATTGTTAAAACATATTTAAAGAACTTGTGAAAGAAGAGAAAAAAGAAAGAAAATCAGGATAAGAGATAAATGGAGAAGAGAGAAAACCAACATAAAAGATGAATTAGAATTGTGGTGCTTAAATAATTTTAATAAAAGCTATTGTAATGAATGTTAAAAGTAAACAAAAGGATACATGAAGAAGTTGTTATAAGATATAAGAGGAGATGAAAAGTATAACATTACTAAATAATAGAAGAAAAATATATATGAAATTTAATACCTACAGTAAAGAGCAGAAGATGAAGGGAGATAAAACGTACACCACATATAGTAAACAATAAAAGATAAAAAGAGATGAAAAAATTAATAATTGTAATAAAAGATCACAATAAATGTTGAAAAATAATAGGAAAGAAAATATGAAAAAGAAAACGAAAAGATACAACATTTTTAGTTTAAGAAGGAAAAAAAAAACTAAAAACTAAGGCAAAACATAAAAATGCATGTGAGAATCATGTGAGAGGACTACCAAAAACAATCTCACATTCCCTAATTATAATATATGTTGATAATCTGATAATCAAAACTCAAATAGAGTCCAAATTATCCTAAATATTTTATGAAATTTGTTAAATGTTGTTTTATTTAAATTCCATGACAGTAAACAGTTCAAAACAATCAGGTATGTCTCTCTTTTTCATTTTCTTTTGAAGCTTTTGTTCTTTTCTTAATTTTTTGTAGTCAATAAGTTGTTTTCATACAGATTTTTTTTTAATTCAATACGAGTTTATGTTCATTTAGGTACTCTCAATGGATGTGGAGTACCTGTAAATAGTGCCAGAAAATATTACCGACAACAGTTTGGTAATAATCTCGGCCATAGTTACAACAGTTATGTTTTTGTTTTTTTTTTTTTTGTTTCAATGTTACAATGGATTGAAGAATCACTTATTTATGATTTTTTATTATCGTAGACACTTTCGAGTCGTCTGCTATCGTGATTTAGAGGAAATCCACAAGATTGTGTCTATCTGCGGACCAATTTCAGAGATTTATATGTTAAATTTCGTATCACCCATAACGGCCGAGGACAGTTTTATGGTGATAGATTTTTAGAATTTATTCGTAGCATCAATCTCATTTAGGGTGCAAAAGTTCACATCGTAATTGTTGAAAAGTATATCATATTCATCATTTATGATCGAGGAGGGTGTCAGAATTTCGATATTCGCCGTCAACCTATTCACAGTTTTTTGGGAATTAAATGTATGTTCTTAATTAATGATTTAATAATAAAATTTTAAGTTAATTATCATAATTTTTGCACAGCATTTATGATGTAAGTTATATGCATTTTTTAAGGTAATTATCAAATTATTTTTATAATTTAACCAAATGTGAATTTTTGTAAAAATTTTTTATAAACCTAACAATTGATTTTTGTTTCACAACAAAGGTTTTTAACATATATTTTTTTCATAATCCTCGTGCAACACACGGGTCACCCACTAGTTGATAATGAAAAAATTGTACAGTATAACTTCTCTAAATTAATAGCGTTAAAACCACCAATAGCTAAAATGTTTTGAATTTTTAAATAAATAATTAATTAATAATTATTTTAAAGAGGTTACTTAAGGAAAAAAGAGAATTATTGCTAAGTTACGTAATTTTTAGTCATCTTTATAATCCAAATTAAACAAGTACTGAAACTCTAAAATCCATACAAAGCTCGTATCATTTTTCAGAGGACTAGAAAAAAAAACATTAATTCAAATTGGAATATATCTATAGTACTTAATTAAAGCAGCAAACAAAAAGGACATGTGTCAGCACCACAATGAAAATTTTCCTGTCAAAAGCCATTTTCAGTATAAAATCATTTTTGACACGTGGCACTCTAACTAATCAGAAAAAAAAGATAGAATATATAAATACATAAATCCATTCATTATAGCTACATAAAAATATCTTAATTACAGGTATATACTGATCCTTTAAAACAACAATATTTAGTTGATAAAATCAAATGTAAGGAAATCCCCTTAAATCAAGTGAAACACCAGTAATGTCTTCCCAATCCCCAATTTCAAATAATCTCTTTTATTCCTCTCCTCTCTCACACCCGGGCCTTTAAATCAATTACTTAAAATCTGACATCCATTATCAATCCATCTCTTTCTACAACAGAGAACAAATAAGCTGTCATGAAAGAAATTTGATTTTTTAAGGATGATTTTTTTTATTCTTCTGTTGTAGATATTGGTTTATGATTTATGTAACAAGTTAACTGTTATAAATTAAATGTTGTAAATCTGGGCATAGATTTATGTGTAATAGCTCACTTTCTGTCCTTTCAGTTGATTTTTTATTCTTCTAATTTTTTTTATTCTTTTAAGAATGATTCGTATTTTTTATTTAATCAATTTAAAAATACAGGCGACACCCCGGGCATTCGCCCGGGGCAAGCATCTAGTCATTTTCTTAAAGCAATTACACACGGAAAAAAACGATATGCTTAACTACATTGTAAAAAAACTTTCATTCTTTTATTATAATTAGTATGTGTCCCGCGCTTTGCGCGGGTTTGTGAATATTGAAAATTTATCTTTCAAAAGAATTAATTAGATAATGTAGTTACTAATATTTCTTAAAACCTTAATAATTTTTTGATTAATCAATTTTAGATGAGAGGTATTGATATTATTTATGAGATGTACATTTGTAAGATCTGGTCAAAAATATTACAACAAAAATTTTCAAAAGTTGTATAATAAAAATTGTCACAACTAACTAATGTTATGTTTGGATTAAAAAATATATTTAAAAAATGCATAAATTATGTCTAGATGCCCTTGGCTTATTTATAGGCAAGGAGACTTTGGAGATTAGACACAATTAATCGTCCTTGAAAATGTAAAATCGATAAACTTGAAGACTAAGTAACACATAAATGAAACTTTAAGGGCTAAAATGACAAAAAGTTGAAAATGAGACTTGATTAACTCAAAAAGCGACACGTGTCAATTATCTTTCTTTCCTTTAATATATATAATGATTTTTTCTGTTTAACTTTAAAAATTTATTTTCAAAATACATCTTTTGCAAGTATCTCTTAAATAAGTTCTTTCATGTTAAGATTATATAAATATTGTTCCACACTAAAAAGATATTTTCAAAGGTGTAATTTTGAACTTATATTAAGGAGGTGTTTGTTTGGTTGGAATCGGAATCGGGAAATAGATTCACCACCTCTGTTGGTGTTTGGTTGTTGGGAATCGGAAACGAGGAATTGGATTTGGAATTGAAAATCGAATCCCAACTCCCCCATGGGATTCGAAGGAATCAGAATTGAATCATTTGTCCTTTTTTTTTTTCCCTTGACCTTCCTTTCGTACCTCTTTCTTCTTCGTCTCTTTCTATCCTCTCTGCAAGTCCCACCATCCCTATAACCAAAAATCAAGATCAAGAAATTACATCTGACCACCATACTACCTCCTCATATCATCCTCAAATCTGAACATCATCGTATTCATCTTTCAAGAAATTACAGTTACCCTCATCGTCAGATGTAAACACCACCTTCTCTTATCATCTGAATTTTTTAGATCTGAGCCATCATTGAATTTTTTTTTCAATCTTCCTAAGATTGTTGATTTTCTCTTGTTTGTTGTTTATTTGATCAAGAAGAACTAGAAGTTTGATGTTGACCATGAAATTTGATTTGAAATTGATAAGTTTCAATTCAAAATTTTGAGATA